ACAAGCAGCTGAACGAACTTTTTTAGGGCTCTAGTCCCTACAGTGTTGGTTCGGACTGTTTGACCCAAAACGCGCTTAGTCAAGGGCAACAAGTGGCGACTGCCAATCGTTTTTGGCAGGCGATATCTACAGACAGTCTATACCCACAGATAGCTTTACCGTCATAAGTTTTCCAAAGTACTTTACCGTCATAAGTTTTCCAAAGTACCTTCCCCTCCCCCGCCCCCTATTTATTACTCCGCAATCGGCTATGAACTTAATAGCTGAAGGTAACGAAAGATCGTTAAGAATCTTCTAGGTAGGAATCGCAAGGTTCAAAGTAGTTACACCCTACAGTCAGCAGAATTGCTCAATGGCAGCACCTTACCTTTCAAGATCGTCGTCATCACTCAACCCGAACACAGCGAGTGATTGAGGATTGTCGAGATCAAACACAGGCAACTTCACAGCCTGAACTCGCTTGACACGAATCCGCCCTCTTTGACGAGGAATATCTCCGAGCCTGCAAACACTCAATAACCGCTCAGAAAGTGAAACTTCGCCCTAACTGAACCTTCTTTATTCGGTTCTATATTCGAGGACATTGTGGAACAAACCTCTTTCTGGCTTCTCGGCCTCGGAACGCAGACTGAAGAGCAATGACGGCTTCACGCAGCAGCCGATAACGATGCTCTTCACGATACCTGAATGAATCCAGGCGCTCAAAACTCCAGAACAAATTCAAGTTCTTCACGCCATACCGCTTCCAGTTGCTTTGGATGACAAGAGCGGCATATGCTTGCCTTCTGAGCTGATTTCTCGCCAGCACACCCCTTACCAGTGCCTGAACGGAGATCGTTTGCGAGCAGTATAGTCATTTCCTAGCGTAAGAAGAACAACCTGAATCTTCACTATGCCTTGCTTCAGCCGTAAGTATCGCTTCCTCGCTATGATCGTGCGGAACCAACGTTGAAGAGTATCTGCAAAGCGACTTAGGGACCATGAAAATTAGTGCTGCTTAACACTGAGCAAGTTACAAACTCACCGATGTGTTGCATGATTACCCTGTGAAGGTGGTCGTCAAGAATCAGTTTCTCGGCATCCCTCATATAGATCTGGAAATTCCCTCCGAATACATAAAGTAAAACGAGTTAGCAGCCTTCCTCACCTTGCTCACACCGTACTGAACATTGTCTGGTGAGATTGATGGATGCGTACTGAGGAATTGCTTCACATCTTCTCTCGTACTGTTCAAACCATTGCGAAGAAGTACGCGATATTGTTGAATGAAGGCCTACAAAGGAACCTTGGCGCCGCTTCACTCAAACGAACCTCTGAAGCAACGAGAAAACTCACGTCCCACTCTATTCGCACACTGTAGCCGGCCCTTCTGATCCTTACTGTCTCCAGCATTCCCGTGTATCGTAGTTGACGAAGGATGATGTTGTCGTCGAAGTGATTCGGAATCTAAGGAAGTGCCGATGACATTACATCCATTGAGCCTTGCGAAGACAGAAGCAGTTTTAGGTTGGATCAAGAAAGGTCGCTTTGGGGAACCGACTCAGTATGGGACAACTCCCGAAGAATAATTTTCAATACCAAGATGATTCTTTTGCGTTAAGTCCTGTGAGTGAAACTATCGGGAGCTCTGGAATGATCGCTATACCAGTTCCACTTCAAATTCTACTTTTTTACAGTTCCTTCCAAAGGCCCATCTTTTATGGGTAGAGGACAACGATGACAAACTTCTCAAATGCTCTTACTTACATCCCTCCACGCCGCACTCGAACGTTCTCCCTCATGATCAATTGGATGGCAACGTTACTCCGGTCCTACTTATCCTTAACATAAAACGATGCATAAGCCTACTTCCCACTCTGCCCCCTCTTTCCCTACTGTTAAAACCTTCCTCTTCAATAGAAACTCCTCTCTGCTTTCCCTCTTGGGAGGGGTTGTAATGACCTAAGAAGCCTAGGGAGAGGCTGAAAATGGAGGATTGGGTCGATGTTGTTAGGGGCTGTTGCACAGGATCAAGAAAAACTGTAGATGAACAATTTAATACTTGAATTATGAAAAAGTGGGGGGGGGGGAGGAGAACTCAAAG